CCAAAGCTGTGCCCATCGCGGTCCGTCCAGAACGACGCCAAGCCGTGGTTTTGTTGTGTGTGGTCTGACATACCCATTTTATCAGGGCAGGAGCGCGCCAAGCCATTCTCCCACTAAAGCCATGTCTTGGCGTCTTAAGGACGCCAAGACGTGGTGCCCCTGACAATGTACGAAAGGGGAAGGACATGGAAAGAAATTCAATTGTTAATCTCTCACTTTTAGACTTGAGCAATTTAAAGGCAACCAATAATTCAAACATTTATGGGCGATTTATAACAGGTTAAGGAAGGCAAATTTCTTCTGAGAGGCGCGGCAGATGAACTCAAACACTGAAGAAGCCATCTTGTAACAGGCTAAGTGATAGCAAATACATCGAACAGACAAGCACATTACAGATGAGTATAAAGAAGAGAAAAAAGAAAGAAGGGTAATGAAGAGAGAGGTTTGCGGCGAAATTAAAAGAACCATGAATTCAAGGCGGGAGGGAGCCCATATATATACCTAGGAGCAGTCCCAGAACAGGAGCAGTCCCAGAACAGGAGCAGTCCCAGAACAGAAGTAGTCCCAGACCAGAAGTAGTACCAGAACAGAAGTAGTCCCAGAACAGAAGTAGTCCCAGGACATGAGCAGTCCCAGAACAGAAGTTCCCAGGCTGTACCTTTGTCCTGAGAGCATTTCTAAGTTTACAGACCCAGAACGATATCTTTGTGTGTGACCTGCTCGTTGATGTGAACCCGGCCGCGTCCCCTTGGGGCTCTAATACATACATACTAGCGCACAAGTTGACAATGTCGTTCAATGTGACGTGTTCTTGAAGGTATGTTCGAAGCTGTTGGTGGTTTTGTTATTGACCGTATCCGTCCCTTCTATTCTGCTTTCTATCGCGTGATTGTCAATCTCCATTGCTGTAAACTAAATATTGAAGCTCAAAATACAGAGACGTTTCGAGAAATAAGAGCTAGAGTATGTTGTAGGCCTTTCCTTGGATGGTTCGTATATGCTTTAAGTTTTATGAGAATAAACAGAATCGCGCTGGCATTATTCTCAGCAGGTC